GTAATATGGAATACCGATGAAATTTTGACCATGGTAATAAATAACACAATAAATGAAGTCCAAATTTGTTTATTTATATAAACTGATCAAGAAAAACAGAGAAAACTGTTCAATTTTTATATATTGTACAATAACACAGACAATATAATAGCATCATTACTAACGTTATTACGCATGGACAATAAAGAATAAAATTAAATCTTGAATCATTAAATTATGATATACAATAAATATTAGCATCTAAAATAAACATTATTCACAAGAAGAATAAAAAGTTATATTTTCAAACATTAATATTTATTTTAATGATAATGTTTATACATAGAATAATTTTATGATTTAATATTTAATATTGTCTATTTGCAATAATGTTATTTTATTTTCCATCTGCCACAATTGTACAGTAAAGATATAAACTATTTAAAACTGTATTTTGATAAGTCTACATAAATAAATATAAATCTTTGTATATAAATTTGCATTTTATTATTTAAAAAACTTAAAATAGCGGTTTATACAAAATAAAAATCATTGCACAAAGAATATGTGTAAAATGAGAAAAATTATATTTAATTTTATTTGTTGTCAAAGTACAGAAACATATTATAATCTAAATTGACAGTAATGAAATTCTTTATCTTTTATGCGTGGTCTACAATGGGCAATAGCAATAGTGGATTAAGGAATGGGCGTAGAAATTGACCAATCATAATTGATTATCCTCCTCACATTCGACTACAATTAGTTAATTTCTATATCTACTCCTTAATCCACTACTGCTACTGCCCATTGTAAACAATGCATTAATGTTTTATCTTAAACTACGGCTAATAAAATAAGAATTGCAATAAGATTTGTTTCTCTCTTTACTTTGTACTGTATGAAAGAACACATAAAATATAAAAAATAGAAGATATAAAACAAAAATAATAGTTATTTCTTATTTCCTTTAAATGTTTAATGAACATCAAAATAAAATATATGAAAAAAAGAAACATCTTAAAGAAAATAATATTTCTTTTTAGTGTTTAATTTAAAGCAACATTTAATAAAATATTTAAAAGATATTTTTAAAATATTTAAAAAAACGTCTAAAATAAGAAAATAGCAGCTATTTCTTTTTAATTTTTAATCGGAAACTGTGGCACAAAGGACGTATAAACTTTACATTAGTTGCTCCACAATTTTCATGTGCCCATCGATAACATACTGTACATTGCACCCATGTTTCTCCATGTTTGTCATCCTTGAAACTGCTATTACAAAATAGACATTGTGTATCATCATCATCGCTTAATATGTCATCTTTATGAACATCACTGTCTGTACTGCTTTCATTGTTTGTTTCGTGGCTTTTCTTCTTAGAGAATAGCTTTCTTCTTGCAGTAGGCTTCTTATTTTCTTTCTGTTTTCCTTTTACTTGACTCTTGCTCTTTAGCGTATTTTTAAGTTTGTTACAATAAGGTGACAATGTTAAAATACAAGCTGAACCCGCACGATTTAAAGTTGTAGGTCGTAAAATAGGTACAGACATAATGTCGAATGGCGATACTGCATTACTTGGTCCAGGCATTGGTTCTTCAGGCATTGGTTCTTCAGACATTAGTTCTTCAGGCATTGGTTCTTTGGGCATGTTAACAGCTGAATTCATAATTGATTGTGTATCTCGATTTAGAGGTTGAACAGGAAAATGATAATCTTGAAAAATGTGTCTATTTAGTGGATAAAGACCAGTCTTTCTGAATGCATTCACAGAAATTTCCATTGTTGCGGAGCGGTTGTATGCAACAGTAAATAATTTAGCTACACGATAAACAGTTGCTTTATTAGTATCTCTATCTTCTTGGATCCGAAATCTTAGAAAATTTTCAATTTCTTGTGCGTAATATGTTTTCAAAGGTCTCATAAATCCTACGTCTAAAGGTTGCATTTTATGAAAACTATGTGGTGGCAAGCACACTATATGAATAAAATTATTCATTGCCCTCTCGATCACTTCTATGTTTTTTATATGTGAATTATGTCCATCTAAGACTAGTAGTACAGGATTAGTAGCGCTTGGGGCTGTATGTTTTATAAAATGGTCAAACCACATTGTAAAAATGTTCGTTTGAATCCATCTGGATGGATGACACGCCCATATTGAACCCGGTGGAGCGTTATCCATTAATTCCAATTTCATATTCTTTCTTGGCCAAACAATTAAAGGAAGAATATAATTGCCGACTGCGTTCATACAAATAACTACTGTAATCAGATTCCTCTCTCTGCAGATGTTAATGCACTGACTTCTTTTTTTCCTTTGACACTAATAACTTTATCTAATTTATGCTGAACAACTGTGATTCCTGTCTCATCTATGTTATATATTCGATGAGGTTGTCGATTAATTTTATTATATGCAACTTCATATAAATCAAAAAAAGTGTTTACATTTTCCTTAGTAAATCCAGCTATTCTTGCACTTGAAGTAGCGCGTGGTGTTCTCAATGCAAGATTTGGATGTCGGTGTAGAAATATTTGAAACCAAAATTTACCTAATACAATAATTCAGACTCATGTTGATATAATCAATAAATAATTAGAAGAAAAATGATAATGAGGCAAGCACAGAATTTACCTGCTTCTTTATTGCAAAATGGATGTGGCAAATTATTTTTTATGGCAAGTTGATATGCCATTCGTTTTTTACATCGCGTCTTCCATAGACATATAAGATAGACCCAGCATCCGTATACTTTTCTATAGTATATGCTGGGTTTGGCAGAACGGTGCGAGAGGCAAAATATCGGGGCAACCTGTCTTTCTCTGCGCGCGCATCTTGACAATCTTAACAAAATCAAAATGGCTGCCTACTTTAGAATTGTCTGTATTCTTTGCACCTATTATTAATAACTGTTAGTATTGTTTCTTTTGTAAAAAAAATTGAATATGGAGGCGTGCAACGCATGTGGGTATCAAAAGAAATTTGAAACAGGAAAAAATATTCTTTCAGACGTAAATAAAACATTTTAACCTCTACTTATGTATATGCATACAATACGTACAACATATGCTTCATTTAAGCGTAACAGAATATTTTTTCCTTGCCCATCAGAATACTGGGTGACGCAAAGTAACACAATGGACAAAGAATCCAGACGATCCTAACGTAGTCAGCCATTTTGATTTTGTCAAGAATGTCAAGATGCACGCGCAGAGAAGGACAGGTTGCCCCGATATCTTGCCTCTCGCACCGTTCTGCCAAACCCCAACATGTACTATAGATGCTGGGTCTATCTTATATGTCTATGGCGTCTTCTTAATCCAAATAAAGTAGAATCCCTTTTGATGCAATATTCAGCAAGCTTCTTTTCTAATTCTAGTTCCAGTATTGGTTTTCTACCCAAAGGAATATTGACTTTTTTTCTGGGTGAAAGAGATTCATCCTTTACATATCTAAATAAAGTGGATCTAGGTACGTTATATTTCTTTGCTGCTGCTAAATATCCACATTTTTTTGATCGAACATCTTCGATTGCTTTCACCATTGCAGGTTTATCCCACCTGTGACGTTTCCTTGACTGTCTGTTTAGAACTTGAGACATCTGTACAAATACAATAAATTTATAAGATTATTTATTACACAACATAAAACAATTGATTCCATACGAATAATCTATAAGAATAATCTATAACCTTAACATAAATAAGCTTCTAACATGAAACATAACCTAAAATCGCAAATAAGCTGATATACGATACATGCTGTAACCTAACCTAACCTAATCTGATCACGAATAAGTTGCTGACATGCATGGAATCTATTCCATATTCTCAACCCTCGATGTATTCCACATTACCTGCATGTCGTGATATGACAAATAAAGTCTTTCCGTAGCAATAAACAAGTTCGAAATAACAATTAATCTGCATAATATTGTTCATGCAATACTATTAAAAGCATCTGTGAAATATAAGCATTAAAAAAACTTACCTTCAGTTTGTGAGAACACTTTTTAGAAAAAACTGCCAGATCTCCTGACGTAACGAAAATGAATAAATGTTAATTGTAGCAAAACGGTTGGTCGGACCGAGTTCATTGCTTGTTATGATATGTTTGGTAAAAGTTGCAATAACTTTCAGCGATTGCCGCCAGATTGCAATGCTTTGTTTAAAAAATAAGCCACTATTCCATATTAGTAGCCTATGCCATAATCCCTGATTTTACCCTACATATATAACAATATTTTTCGAGGCATTTTAGCATTAGCCGTGCAAATTAATTTTTCTATATAATAGAAAACGTCATGCGATTAGCGACTTTTAAAAAAATAATTGCAAAAATATTCTATCATATTTTTATAAAGAAAGTATAAAATAATGAGGACACATAAATAATTAGATTGTTATTTTAATAGTGTAAAAATAAAAGAAAAACGGGAAAAATATTTTTTGTCATAACTGTTATTTTTAATGTAATAATAGTTACTGCACTCTCTCGTTTGAAACTATATGATTTAATCAAATTTGCATTCAAACCAAAGCACTAAAATAGGATGTTTTTTTAAATTCAAATTTCATTAAAATATCTTTTTAACTGCATACGATATCACAATGAGAATTGAGTATGATAACGGGTTTCTTCGTAGAAAATCTCATTTTACTTAACTTACAAGTTTCCGCGATATATATAATCTTTAAAACTAATCTGGAGGGTGCCGCTACCCAGGCACTATCGAGTTATCTTCATGTATAAGAAATATCGGTTATTATCGATCGGAGATAAAGCTGGCGCTATCGCGCATGTACGGAAAACTACGGGATGTAATTTTGATAAGATATTAAAGACGTCTACTTTCGTCAGGGAGGAGGAGGCCGACAACGCGATCATAAGTGTATGTCATCGTGACGAACGGGAGACGCGCGCCGGCGTTCCAGATACTTTCAGATTCAATAGCTTCTCTGAAGCAAGCAAAGGAATCGATGAGCCGAACATTTTAATTTTGGCGAGAATCATATTCATGACTGAAGCTGGATTGGAACGAATCCTGGCGCGGTTGGCAAGTGGTTGCGAGGAAGAGAAACCGCGGTGGAAAATGCGGACGACGCCGGATGAGAGGCTACAATTCCATTTGTCCCATTTCAAAATGAAATAGCTTATAATGTCGAAATAACGTCCGCCCGGTTCTTCAGGAACGTCTGAAGTCGCCCGGTAAGAGCCAGATTGGAAGATATTCCAGACCGAATATGGGCACGGGATATGGAAATCTCCCAGCGATGACTGGGCTGGTTTTCGCAGCTATGATAATCCGATCCAAAATCGCATACTCCATTTTTTACCCGACAATGAGAAGTTATTTGTCCGTACAGGAGAAAGCGGTAGATGCGTATTTATATTTAAGCAAACGCGTTTTTATCTGATTCATAATAAAGGATTATCTTCTAAGACAAGAGAATTTTCTTCCGCGTTTTGAATTTTGAAAAAATGTCTACACGGAAAAACAATTTTGCTAAAATATCTATAAATTTAGTTAAATAAACACAGAACTAAAATAAATACAGATCTAAAAATAATTTTATTAGATCAATAATAACAAGAAATATAGGACTCTTCTCATAAAAAGTTAACAGTAAGAAAAAACGGGACGGTGTAAGAGTCAAAAAATTTTTTTTTAAAAAAAGACAAAAACTGTAATGTATGTAACTAACTTAACTCCACAACATGATTAACAAAGCTCATGTCATTAGGTAACGATATAAGACACAGAATATAACATTAATCGCAAATAAAAACTAATAGCCTTAATTTGTAAACAAAAAAACAAAAAAACCACTAACTAAACGTAACTTAACATGATAATCGAAGCTCACGTCACTCGATGACAGTATAAAACACAGATTATAACATCAGTCGCGAATGAAAACTAATACGCTTAATTCGAAAACTAATTACTAAAACATAACTTAACGTTTCGGCTCTTGGATCGAGCCATCTTCAGAAGTACAATAAATTCGCTTGTTTTAAAATTATCAGTAGATCTGCAAATCCATCGAAGTAAGACAAAAGACTCAAACACATTTAAGTGTCATTGGAAGATCACTCTAAAATGGATTAGTATAATTAATAATATTGTTTATCAAATTCTTAATATATTCACAAAGCAAACCTTCCACGATGGACCCGGAGATTACAGCTCAAAAGTCAAGACATAACGGATACACTGCTCGTTACATTTTTAAATTCTGTGAACACGTCTACACACAGTCAAATCCAACACACGTCTGACATCGAAAACAAGTATCAGTGTCGCATTTTGTTTATGATAGGCAAGTACGCTTTATGTAGACCTTCTGTATCGGTTTGCAAATTCAAACTATTTGTTTGTTTCTTAATGTTGACCATTTCAGAAATCAATCTCTTCCTGTAGATAGGTTCTTCATCCAATATCTTCACATCATCCCATCGAAAATCGTGATTGTTGAATAGTCTATGCTCCGTGACTACCGACCGTGTCGCTGATTTGTGTCTGATATGGTTTCGATGCTCCGAGATTCGAGTTTTTAACTGCCTACCAGTCTGTCCAACGTACGACGCATCGCAATCATTGCAAGATATCTTGTACACTACATTGCTTTTACAATTCTTCTTTAAAGCATCTTTCTGTACTTTAATGTACTTGCCCATTTTGTTCGGACTGCGATAAGATACTCTGATGTGTGTCATTACAATTGAATCTTTTAAATTTTTCCGTATGAAAGGGGATGAAAGGTACCATCAACCAAGATACTGTTTCTTTGTTATTAGAGATATCAGTAGACGTCAGTTGTGTGACGTGTTTGGATTTTAATAAATGTTTTATTCGTTGATTTACAGTCTCAAAAATAAAAGTTATCGGATAATCATTATCTAATAACGTATTAATAATAAAAATTAAATTTTTGGAATGGAATTTGTAGTCAGACAATAAAAATGCTCTGTCAACAAGCGAAAACACCGTGCCTCTCTTCTGTGAAAGTGGATGATTCGAGAGAAAATTCAGAAATCTACCCGAAAAAGTAGGTTTACGGTACCAATCAAAAACAAAGTTGTTAATGAGTGACGTGAGCTTCGATTATCATGTTAAGTTACGTTTAGTTAGTGGTTTTTTGTTTTTTTTTTTGTTTACAAATTAAGGCTATTAGTTTTTATTTGCGATTAAT